CCGCAGTAGTGCATTGGCAATCCTTCTACCCCAGCCTCCAGTGTAACTGGAACTGTAGCCCTACACTACCACACCCAGTTAATTTTTTTTTTTTTTTGAGACAGAGTCTCACTTTGTCACCCTCAGTAGAGTACTGTGGCGTCACAGCTCACAGCAACCTCAAACTTTTGGGCTTAAGCGATTCTCTTGCTCAGCCTCTCGAGTAGCTGGGACTACAGGTGCCCACCACACCTGGCTATTATTTGGTTGTAGTTGTAGTTGTTGTTTAGCTGGTTCAGGCCAGATTCAAACCTGCCAGCCTTGGTGTATGTGATGGGTGCTGTAACCACTGTGCTATAGGTGCTGAGCCATACCTAGTTAATTTTTAAAATTTTTTGTGGAGACAGGATCTCATTATTTTGCCCAGCCTGGTCTCCAACTTCAGGCCTCAAATAATCCCTTCCTACCTTGGCCTCTTGAAGTGCTGAAATAACAGGCATAAGCTACCATGCCTGGCTATGGACTTTAGGAAGGTTTAATGTCCCCTGTCAGGGACCCTATATGTAAAATGGGAATTGTAAGGCAAGAGAATCACTTAAACCCAAGAGTTGGAGGTTGCTATGAGCTGTGACACCACAGCTCTCTACTGAGGGTGATATAGTGAGACTCTGTCTCAAAAACCAAAACAAAACAAAAAACCACAAGTCAAATGCATATATAATGTATAAATGTATATAGGGATTATTCATTTAAATGTAACTGCTTTTACTTTTTTTTCTCAACATGCTGAAGGTTTTAGGAAGATATATTTGTTGACATGTATAGGATTTATTAGAATAAATAGAATTTGAAGGTAGAAAATCTGGCTAGGAGGTGGTTTTAATGGATTAAAGCCTAAGGAATGAGTTGAAAGGTAACATCAACTCAAGAGATATGATGAAAGAAGCAATAGGACTTTATAGTTCATTGCATGTGAGAAGAAAGGAAAGGGGGAAAGAGAGGTGATATTTTGGTAGAGAAGGCAAGGAAAAATATCATAAACTATAATTTAAATAAGGATGTTAGGAGATGGAACCAATGAAATGATGACATACGTTAAGATGTTGAGGATCTGACCCTGTTTTAAGACAACGGGAAAGGAGTAGTACTCAGTGAAAGAGAGATTAAAGATCTACATTTCTATCTTAGCAAGTAAATACTGGACTCTTTATGGTAAATATACAACAGTATGTTCTCTTGAGAATTCTGAAGTAGATATATCTTAGAGCTTTGACATTATGAAAGGACTAAAAAGACCTTGTTAATTTTTTTTTTTTTTGAGACAGTCTCACTATGTCACCCTCAGTAGAGAGCTGTGGTGTCACAGCTCACAGCAACCTCTAACTCTTAGGCTTAAGTGATTCTCTTGCCTCAGCCTCCCAAGTAGCTGGGACTACAGACACCCGCCACAACACCCAGCTATTTTTTGTTGCAGTCATTGTTTTAGCAGGCCTAGGCCGGGTTCGAACCCACCAGTCTCAGTGTATGTGGCTGGTGCCATGACCACTGAGGTACAGGCACTGAGCCAAATTAATTGTCCTATCCACAAAACAATTTCCTTAGTATGTCCTTTAAGTCAGTGATATACTTTGACTTACATGACACGGTTGGAAAATGAGATGTTCCTCATAAGAGAATTGTTCAAATAACTAGAGACTGTCTTTTTACCCATTAATACCTTTTTTTTTTTTTTGAGATAGAACCTCAAGCTATCCCTGGGTAGAGTGCCATAGCATCACAGCTCACAGCAACCTCCAATTCCTGGGTTCAAGTGAGTCTTCTGCCTCAGCCTCCCAAGTAGCTGGGACCACAGGCATCTG